ACGGTAGGGGAAAGCATGGCTTAGAAGCAGAGATTGTTGGGTGTGGGTCTGCTCCAAGACAAGGAGCAGCCCTTCCTTTCTAGGCTTTTTCATTCTAGGTGATCTGGTTCCTGAGTGATGGCAAGGGCTCCTTGTGTTCTTGTCTTCAGGTCACCTGGAGCGGGGGTATGGACTCTGCTCAGCACAGAGGGTGGGCTAGGAGTCAGTGCTTAATCCTCTCCGAGGAGGAGCTGGTGAGAGCCACAGGCAAGCGCAGAAACTCAGCAAGAACTGAGAAATGAGGGATGTGCCCAGCTCTCTGACTAGTTGTGGAAGAGACGTGTCAGGGGAGACATCACCCCTCATCTCCTGCAGGCTCTTCTGGGCTGCTGGTTGTAGACAAGTGTCAGGCTGCTGCTTCATTCTAAACTTTGGCAGGCAGCTTTCTTCCATCCTGGGAGAAGCCACTACAATGAAAAGGATTACCCCTGATCCTGGGCCAAGGAGGCCCTAGGGTTTTCAGAGAACCTCATTAGACCTCCTTGGAGGCCTTTCATCCTGGACAGGACTTTGGTTGGGAACAGCAGCACTGGCAGCTCTGTGATGGGTCTCTGTGCTGCCAAGCTTCTCGAGATCTGTCCCTAGGCAGTCCTTTTCTCCATGGAGACCGTGGAGGGCTGTTCTCTGGCACCGCCACGGTGTTGAGTACACAGAGAATCTTTCTCACCACTCAGGCATTTTGCTGCTGTTGGGGCTGCTAGTGACCAAGTATCCCTGTATTGGATGTTTTACAAACAGTATTTCATTTCATCATAATCATAATGGCCATATTAATTTATTGTGTACCTCTTACATGTCAGGCACAGAACCCAGCACAGGGTAAATAGACACACCTTTATCCCAGTGGACCTTGGCCAGCAGGGGAGACAGATCCTTACTGGATGACCCTGCAGTGGTCCCTTTGCATTCTGGTCAGTGCCATGAAGGGGCAGCACTGAGTACTGTGAGACAGCTAGATTCAGGCTGGGAGCTGAAGGATGAGGGGTCTGGCCAGGAGTGGCAGGGAGATGAGGGATGGCAAAAAGGTGAGGGGGTAGAGAAGAGGAAAGTGCCAGGCAGAGTGAGGAGTGGGTAGGAAGGAGGTGGAAAAGAGCTGGGTGTGCAGAAAGTGACCACAGGCCGTGAGGTTGGTCTGTGCAGCTGGGAGGGCCTGGCAGCCCTAAATGTTACGGGGTGAAGGGCTCTGAGGGGTTTAAGCAAGTTCACAATCTACCAGTGTTGGCCCGCCAGAGCCCAGGTCTGAAGGGCAGAGGCAGGTGCCAGGAGGACAGTTTGAAGACTTAGTGGCCCACAAGAACATGGAAGTAGCCTGGACCAGAAATGGGGAAGAGAGGATGGATGGATTGACAAATCTTTAGGAGGTAGTCCAGCCGGAGTCGGGTCTTCAGAGTAATGAGTTGGTTGGACTGCAGGCTACTGGTAGTGTGCCTCCAGAGTGGTGCTGTTCATTTGTTTTAAGAATACTCTGGTTAAACAAGTAGCCTGGTGTTGGCCTTTTACATGCTGAGTCTCAAGGTCATTAAGAACAAGAGCTTGTACAAGAGTACAAGCTGAGCAGGGCATTTTTGAGTTAAGAAAAGAAGTTGGGCCGGCGCCGTGGCTCAATAGGCTAATCCTCCACCTTGCAGCGCCGGCACACCGGGTTCTAGTCCCGGTCGGGGCGCCGGATTCTGTCCCGGTGGCCCCTCTTCCAGGCCAGCTCTCTGCTATGGCCAGGGAGTGCAGTGGAGGATGGCCCAGGTGCTTGGGCCCTGCACCCCATGGGAGACCAGGAAAAGCACCTGGATCCTGGCTCCTGCCATCGGATCAGCGCGGTGCGCCGGCTGCAGCGGCAGCCACTGGAGGGTGAACCAACGGCAAAAGGAAGACCTTTCTCTCTCTGTCTCTCTCTCTCACTGTCCACTCTGCCTGTCAAAAAAATAAAATAAAAAAAAAAAAAAGAAAGAAAAGAAGGTAATGTAGGAAGTCCAGCATGGCCTTCTGCTGCCAGGAAGTACTTGGTCTTGGGTGTGTGCTGTGGCTTAGCAGGTTAAGCCCCCATTTGGGGCACCCACATCGCATATTGGATTGTCAGTTAGAGTCCCTGCACTTCCATTTCCACTCCAGCTTCCTGCTAATGCATCCTGGGAGGCAGCAGATGATGGCCTAAGTTTTTGGGCCCCTGTCACCCTGTGGGAGACCCAGAGAGATCAGGCCAGGACTCAGACTGGCACTCTGAAATGGGATATAGCTGCACCACAATGCTTGCCTCAGATGCTTTTTATTTGTTTTTCTAAGATTCTGTTTATTTCTTTGAAAGGCAGAGTTACAGAGAAGGAGAGAGAGAGATTTTCCATTTGCTTTGTCACTCCCCTAATGGCCATGCCTGGGCCAGGCTGAAGCCAGGAGCCTGGAGCTTCATCCAGGTCTCCTATGTAGGAGCAGCGGCCTAAGCACTTATGCCATCCCCTGTCGCCTTCCCAGGTGCATTAGCAGGGAGGTGTACCACAAGTGGAGCAGCTGGGACTCAAACTGGCACCTGTATAGGCTGCCAGTGTAGCAGGCAGCGCTGTAGTTTGCTACGCTGCCCCTACTGCCAAGTGCTTTTTGATTGTAGAAGATAACCTTTCTCTTTTTCCCTGTCTCCTCCTACCTCCCTCTTCTCTCTTCTATCCGAAGATGCTTGTCTGTTTGATCCCTTTGAGTCTAGTTCCTGATTAAAATGTTCACTAGCTGAGTGAGATGGGTGTGGAGGCAGTGGGAGCAATTATCACCTTTCTCGAGGGATCCAGAAGACACTTGTGTCGCCTATGAGTGATTGGCTGGACTTTGCCAAGCCCTAAAAGGGCAGTGAAAAGGTAGCTGGAATTCTTCCAGGCACAAGTGTCCGACGCACTGTGCTGATTCCACTCTGAACAGGTCATCCCTCCAGAAAACTCAGTTGTTAGCAGACAGTGAACCTGCTTGCCCCAAACTGAGGTTGAGGTCATTTCCCTGCAAAAATCAGATCCTCATGTGTCCCCTGTCTGTGCTGAGTCACTGTTCACCTTGGCACCCAAATGGGATTTCAAAGCAATCTTGCTGTTCTCCCTGCCCTCCCTTAGCCTGTGGTTCTGTTGCTCCCCACTCCCTGCTGCTCCTGCCTCTCAGTGGGCTGCTTTCATTGACCTCTCTGCACTATGCTTCCTGCCTGGAGGACAGTCCCCTGCTCAGCTTCATCTGCCACCACCTTTGCCCTCTACCACTGGCATGGGTGCATGGGCCCCAAACAGGCTGATAACAGTCCCTGCTCTGCTCTTCCTCCTTGACTCTCTCTCTATCCTGTGCAACCTTGCCTGACCCCTTCAGCCCTGATCCTATCTCTGTGATCACACTTGCCACTCTGCCTTGTGTGATTGCTTCATATTACCCAGCCGTGTCCTCACTGAATCGGGAGCTCCCTGGGACTCAGAGCACGTATTTCTATCACCACTCCCCCAGAGTGAGCTCAGCGCTTGGTGTGATGCACATGGACTTTGGAATGACACCATCCCTGCTTCACCATGATAAAGATTTATTTATTTATCTGAAAGTCGGAGTCACACAGAGAGAGGAGAAGCAGAGAGAGAGAGAGAGAGGTCTTCCATCCTATAGTTCACTCCCCAATTGGCCGCAATGGCCGGAACTGCGTCCATCTGAAGCCAGGAGCCAGGAGCTCCCTCCCGGTCTCCCATGCGGGTGCAGGAGCCCAAGGATTTGGGCCATCCTCCACTGCTCTCCCAGGACACAGCAGAGAGCTAGATAGGAAGTGGAGCAGCCGGGTCTGGAACTGGTACCCATATGGGATGCTGGTGCTTCAGGCCAGGGTGTTAACCCACTGCGCCACAGCGCCGGCCCCAGTCAAGTGTGTTCTAGAACCAGTCTGGAGTCAGGACCCATTGACCTGCAGCCTGTGTTCAGCTTCAAGAAGCCAAGCAGCTTCACCTACTGCCCTGATCATCATGGCACTGATTGTATCTGGGGGCTCTGCCATCACCTTCTACCCATAGGAGGAGTAACTGTTCTTTCTGTCGGCTCAGTGTCATTGAACCAACTGCTGGCTCATATTTGGTCATATGGGGGAAGAGGCCTTGAGGGCTCCTGTCATCCTGTGGAGTAGTGTTGCTCAGTGGTTAAGAATGTGGACTGGAGCCACACTGTCTGCATTTGCATCCCAGCAGTTGTTTTACCTGGAGTCGGTTACTTAATTGCCCCATGCCTCAGTTTCCCCATCTGTAAAATGGAAGTGATACTAGTATCATGCTCAGGTATAGGGTAGTTAGGATGATAAAAAAAAAGAGTTACTTTCTATGGAGTGCTTAAAATTGTGTCTGACTCACAAAGGAGAAGCATAAATATCAGTTCGTTTTTTTCTTCTACCTTAAGAAAGAAGTGTATACATTTAAAATTCTTTTATAAATATTTGCATATCAAAGTGGAGTTAGCAGAAATCAACATGACACTTTCAAGTGCTTATGTTTTCTGAATTTTGACGGACATGTTTAGTACACATTAGCTGGAGTAGAATTGTGGAAGAGAATGGCACCACTGTTGAGGTTTCCAGTGTTTTCTTATAAGTTGTACCGACTCAGCAGAGACATCTTTGCCTCCAGGGCTGTCGGGGGCAGACGGCAGGCACTGTGGGGTCTCACTTGGTCCCTGGGGCAGATGAAAACAGAGGGAGCCTCTGGAATAAGGCTGTGGTGCTCAGACTTTTCCTGGGAGTCTACGGTTACATCTCAGCTTGCATGTCAGAGGTTTCTGTTGGAAGATGGGGAAGTTTACTTTATTTTCTTCTGACAGGCAGAGTGGACAGTGAGAGAGAGAGACAGAGAGAAAGGTCTTCCTTTGCCGTTGGTTCACCCTCCAATGGCCGCCGCTGCAGCCGGCGCACCGCGCTGATCCTGGCAGGAGCCAGGATCCAGGTGCTTTTCCTGGTCTCCCATGGGGTGCAGGGCCCAAGCACCTGGGCCATCCTCCACTGCACTCCCTGGCCACAGCAGAGAGCTGGCCTGGAAGAGGGGCAACCGGGACAGAATCCGGCGCCCCAACCGGGACTAGAACCCGGTGTGCCGGCGCCGCAAGGTGGAGGATTAGCCTATTGAGCCACGGCGCCGGCTCAAGATGGGGAAGTTTTGATGTTTACCTTTCACAAGGTGTTTTTTTGCCTGCTTAGGTGTGAAACCAAGGGATGGGTGTGGCCCCAGAACAAGGATTTCAGAACCCTTAGCTGAATGACTTGGAGGGAGGGCAGGATGATCTGAGGCAGGTTGAGTATGCCTGTAGTCCCACCCTTGCACTGGTGAGCTGGCAGGGAAGGACAAGGGGCCGGGATCCCTGGATAGAAGAAGGGAGAGAAAGGCAGGGTTCTGGATAGATGGTGGGGTTTGGGTTTCTCTCAAGCATCAGCACTTTGAGGACATGTTGCTTCTTTGTCTTGTGCTTCAGACAGAGCCAGTGAGACTCAAGCTGTGTTGATAGGCCGCCCAATTGCATCAGAGCTGGGGAGCTGCTGGCTTCCTCCCTGCCTCTTCTGTGGCAGAGGCAGCTGCTGGCTTGGTGTGGCGTGTATTACCTTAATTACTACAGCTCCTCGGGGGAGTATCCAGGCTCACTGAGGCATGCATACCTTGATTGTAACTGTTGAAATAGCTAGAATACAGCTGGGGATTAGGAGTGGGGGATGTAGCTCCTGAAATAGGAGGTGACCTACAAGCAGGCCCTGGCTGTTGGACTTAGGGGTGCAGGGTAGATGTGGGTGTCATCTGCTTTCCTTCACAGGATGGTCATGAGCAATGAGTATCTTTTCTTCTCCTAGAGCTTACCAAGCCTACTCTGAACAGGCGGTCAAGATCAAAGGCTCAGCAGGAAGCTGCTTCTGCCAGTTGGGACAGATTCTGCAAACAGCTGATACTTCACATCTTCATGTGCCATGGGGGAGGAATTATTGATAGTAGACATCAGGGCAGAACACCAGGGATCAGCGCCAGGTTCACTGAGGGCATAGGATAGGCCCCACTGGTGTGGCAAACACTGATGATAAGTAACAGGGTGTTTGCTGTCCTCCCTCCATCTCCCTTTAGGGTTACAGCACAAGCACTGAAAAAAATGTCTGTTTGGAGCAAATCTATTAGCAGGTGGCTTTGTACATTGAATGTCTCAGAGATTGATGGCACCCAGGTGGGCTTCTGGACATTTGGAAATGCTGTCGGTCTGTCCCTGCCAAGCAGGGAGTGCCCTGTTCCATTGCTTATGGGCTGGGACCCTTGCTGCTCATGGCTGATGTGCTCCCACTCTGTCCACCATTCGCTACCACACTTCTTTGGAGCATCTTTCACTCCAGGACCTACAAGTGCTTCCCAGGGGTGGGGTCTGCCATAGGGTTGCTCAGACCTGGAAGGGAAGCCATGTTTCTCTCCAGCTGAGTGAGTTGAGCAGTCAGGGCTCTTCTGGCCTTTGGATGTACCCCTCCCAACCCTGCTAGAATACCTGGCAACAGACCTGAGCTCCCCTATCTCGAACTTAGGTTGGTACAGGCCTCCCAAGCTAGTGTCTGCCTGAGCCTGAGAGAGGGAAGAAACCAGCTGGTTGTCACCCTGTAGTTTAGGCCTTTTTGGATACCTTGAGGTGGCCCTGCCTGGAAACAGGATCAGCCAGGAGATTTTCTGAAGCCACTGGACCAGCTGCCCAACCCCTCACTGCTTTTTCTCCTTCTGTTCTTTTCCTATTTCAGATATCCTTGAAAGATAGCTGGGATAAGAGTGAAGGATTAGATGCCTAGAGGCCTTGTAGCTCTGGCAACAAGTCCTACAGGGTAGTCCAGACCAGAGGCAGGTTGGCAGTTGGGCCCTGGGGGTGGGAAGCTGGTCAGACCCCTTGGTGGTTCAGGCAGTGGTTGATGGTGATAGTGCCACCAGAACCACCATGGTCCCTGTGGAAGAGCTTGTTTTGTGTCCAAGGCCCTTTGCTTCCCTGCAGCGCCTCCCTGGGAATTGCGCCCTCGGCCCTGTGGCCAACCAAGCCTGTGTTCCTTTCCTGTGAGTCTCTCCGCTCACCCCCAGGAGACCTGTATGACCACAACACACCACAGCTGCTCCACAGCCTTGTGAGATGCAGTGACTCACTCAGACTGGACATTATTGTTCCTAGGCAATAGGGATTACTTGTTGGTAGTGTCTTGCTTCCTTTTTCCAAATACCTGTTCCCATTTCTCTGTTAAAGAAGGTAAAAATGCTGGACTTCACACTGTAGTTTTCAGAGCAAGTTAAGGTCTTTGAGGAAAGAGGTTTCATCAACAGCAGAAGGGCCAGTTCTGAAACCTGAGTGTCAGTTCTGACAACACAGTCTCGGGTGTCCTCTGGCTGAGGGTGGGGCAAAGTGGAGACTAGTTAGTGTTCAAGCCCTTGCTTTCCTAGTGTTGGGCAGAGGGACGACCCTGTGTAGGGAGCCCAGCGATGCAAAAATACCATGCCTGGGCCTCCTCTGTGGAAGGCTTGTGCACATGCAAATCTCAGAATCCTATGAGGTGTGCAGAGTCTCAGGCTTCTACATTATCAGGGTCGCTTGTCCTCCGACTTTCCTCGGAGGTTTAAAAGAAGCACAGTAGGAAGGAAGGAAAATCAAAGCCAATTCTCAGAGAGAAAGAGACCCCAAGTCCTGAGAGCTGAGGTTACACCATTTTGTAGGACAGTGCCGCCCCTTTCTTAGCCTAGTTCAGGTGAATGACAGTCTTGGGTGTCCAGTGGAGGAAGCCTGATGTGTATGTGGGTAGGTAGCCAGCCCTGCTAAATGGGTCAGATGCTATCTGCACCATACCCTGGGCAATCCCAGCTAGACCCATGCTGACTGCCCAGGGCCTCTCGTGGCCATCAGGAATGCACAGGTGTGACCCTGCTGGGGCGCCTCCCGTACAGGTGCTGACTATATGGTCCCTTTCCCTGCCCATGACTTCAAGCTGACACCTGAGCTCTGTCCCAGTACAAGGCCTGGGTACCCCTAGGAGGCCATACCCCACCTGTGACAGCCCCTGATGTCATCCTGCAGAGGTGGCTTTTTTATCCTGCCTTACTATGGCTTCCATGCCTGCTACCATGAAGAGAAGACTTGCACCCAGGGTACCATCTGCCCCTTCTGCCTGCAGCCGTCAGAGACATTGCCTTAGGATTGTGCTGATTCTGTTCCTTGGTTCCAGGATTCGAAAAGCCAGGTTAATAGCCATAAAAGTGGCATTTTCTGTTTGTTTAATGAAAATGTATTTGGGGCCAGCATTGTGGCATCGTGGTAAAACTGCCACTTGCAATGCCAGCATCCCCTGTGGGTACTAGTTTGGGTCCCGGCTGCTCCACTTCCAATTCAGCTCCCTGCTAATGCACCTGGAAGGGAGCAGAAGATGACCCAAGTTCTTGGGCCCCTACCACCTATGTGGGAGTCCAAGTTGAAGCTCTTAGCTCCTTGCTCCTGGCTTTGGCCTGGCCCAGCCCTGGCTATTGCAGCCATTTGGGGAATGACCAATGGGTAGAATATTGAACTCTCTTTCTGTCTCTCCCTGTCTCTGTAACTCTGACTTTCAAATAAATAAATCTTTAAAAATATTTAAAAAAATCTCTTTGCTAGGCCGGCGCCGCCGCTCACTAGGCTAATCCTCCGCCTTGTGGCGCCGGCACACCGGGTTCTAGTCCCGGTTGGGGCGCCGGATTCTGTCCCGGTTGCCCCTCTTCCAGGCCAGCTCTCTGCTGTGGCCAGGGAGTGCAGTGGAGGATGGCCCAGGTGCTTGGGCCCTGCACCCCATGGGAGACCAGGAAAAGCACCTGGCTCCTGGCTCCTGCCACTGGATCAGCGCGGTGCGCCAGCCGCAGCGCGCCGGCCGCGGCGGCCATTGGAGGGTGAACCAACGGCAAAGGAAGACCTTTCTCTCTGTCTCTCTCTCTCACTGTCCACTCTGCCTGTCAAAAAAAAAAAAAAAAATCTTTGCTTTCCTCTTTTCCTGTTATCCTTTATAGATTTGTTCCAGGCAGTGGGTCTTGTTAGCCTTAATTTTTTTTTCAAAATTTATTTTGTTTATTTGAAAGTCAGAGTTTACAGAAAGAGAGATCTTCCTTCTACTGATTCACTTCCCAAATGGCTGTAACAGCCAGGGCTGGGTAGGCTAAAGGAGCCTGGAACTCCATTTGAGTCTCCCATATGTGTGGCAGTTGGGCCATGTTTTGCTGCCTTCCAGCAGCATTAGCAGAGAGCTGGATTAGAAGTGGAGCACCTGGGTATAAGCCAGTGCTTATATGGGATGCCAGCATTATAGGTGTTAGCTTAACCCACTGTACCACAGTGCCAGCTCCACATTTATTTATTTGAAAAGCAGAGTGACAGAGAGAGTTAGAGCAAGAATGAGAGAGAGAGATCTTGCACCTGCTGGTTCATTCACTAAATGGCCACAACAATGTAGGCTGGGCCAGGCTGAAGCCAAGAGTCAAGATTTCCATCCAGGCCTTATACATGGGTGGCAGAGACTCAGGCACTTGCACCATGATCTGCTGCTTCCCTGGGTGTGCATTAGCAGGAAGCTGGATCAGAAGTGGAGTAACTGGGGCTGGTGGTGTGGTGCAGCAGGTTAAGCTGACATCTGTAATATCGGATTCCATATTGGAGTGCCATTTCAAATTCTGGCGGCTCCATTTCTGATCCAGTTCTCTGCTAATGTACCTGGGAAAGAGGTAGAAGATGGCTTAAGTGCTTGGTCTCCTAAGACTCAGATGGAATTCCTGGCTCCTGGCTTCAGCCATGCTCAGCTCTGACCATCCCAGCCGTTTAGAGAATGAACCAATGGATGGAAGAATTTTTTCTCTCCTTCTTTTTCTGTCACTGCCTTTCAAATTAATAAAATAAACTCCCCAACGCCCACCCCCTCAAAAAATGAGAGTAGCTGGGTCCTGAACCAACACTCCACTCCAGAATGGAATGTGCTGCACCACAACACCCACCCCTGTTTGTTGTTTTGTTTGTTTTCCAATGAATGACATTTTTTAAAGGATTTATTTTATTTACTTTAAAGATGGAGTTACAGAGCAAGGGAGAAACAGAGAGAGAGAGGTCTTCCATCCATTGGTTCACTCCTACATGGCCACAGTGGCCGTTGCTAGGCCAATCTGAAGCCAGGAGCCTCTTCCAGGTCTCCCACGTGGGTGCAGGGGCTCAAGGGCTTCGGCCATCTTCTACTGATTTCCCAGGCCATAGCAGAGAGCTGGATCAGATGTGGAGCAACTGGGACTCGAACTGGCACCCATATGGGATGCCAGTACTGCAGGGTGGAGCTTTAACCCACTGTGCCACACTGCTGGTCCCCAATGTTTGACATTTTGGAGAGAGCATTTGTCTGCTGGATTTCTGAGGAGGGATGGCTCTGTATGAGTGACCCCCCTTGTGGAGCAGCACTGCCATGATGTCCCCCATTGCACAGGGACTCTCTCCACAGCAACCCCAGATTCAGGGAGCACCCTGGACGAGGTAGCGCACCCTTCTTCTGGAGCCAGCCTCAAGAATCAAAGTCACTGGGCATGGCTGTTGAACTGTGCCAGGTGCTGCCTCTCCAGGAAACAGGACAAGCCAGAGTAGAACAGGTCTGGGGCTGTCACTGGCAGGCCATTCAAGCTGTTCATTGGGAGTGGTGGGTAGTGACCAGCTCCCGTCTGCCTACCCCCTCAGGTTAGAAGTGCACAGGAAGTGTGAAGTGCGTGGGCTTGACCTCTGAGCTGGTGTTGGTGACAGTGCAGGAAGGGACTTTCATTGGAGGCCCCACAAAGATTTTCATTAGTCCTCCTGTCAACCCTGAAAGAAGAATTCTTCAAAGAGAACTTGGTAGGTGCCAAGAATTGACATGGTTGGGATCATACCTGTCTCCCCAACTCCAGAGTCCAGTGATGACGGGGACCCATTTGTTGGGAGATGACTGGTTTAGTGGCCAGAACTCAGACTAGCTTTGTGAGTGAGGCAGGGTGTGTTGGTCAGGCTTGGGCTGGGACTAGCACCTAGTGGGCAGCCCCAACTCTACCCCCTTCCAGGTTTCTGGGTACACATGCTGAAGGCATGGTATCTTTCCCCTCAGAGTAAGAGTCCTCTCCATCCTTCACTGCCGTGGGTTTGGAGCCCTTGACATGTCCTGACAGATGGGAGTGACATGGGCTGGATTCCTAGAGCAGTCATGCTGGAGTCCCTGGCACCCACCTCTAGAGCATTACAACCCGGATGGCATCTGGGACTGCCAAGATGAGGAGCTGTTTCCTCAGCCACCGTCTCACTTGTGTGACTGGGACTTCCCTTCTCAGTGATGACGCAGGGGAAGTGAGTGATACTGAAACAGGCACCTGGCGCCTGCTGCCTCCTGACCTGAATGTGGATGGGCTTCTCCTTGTGTCCCCAGCCTATGATAGGTGCCCAGCACAGCAGGGAATGGGCTTTTCTGTGTGGGTGCCAGGCTGGCTGCCTGTCCGTTTTCTCTGGAGTGACGAGGCCCATTCTCTTTGGAGAGGGAAGAATGGTGAGTTGGGTGGTGCTCTATCCGAGTATTGTCCTCATCCTGCAGCGTCAGCCGTCCTTCTGAGCCTGAGCTGGCTGGAAATGACTCCTACAGGCCTCTCCCAGGCGGTGGTGCCTGCTTGTTCTCTTTTGACCTCACAACCCACTGGCCTCCCAGGCAGCCATCTCTGGCCTTGCCATACAGCAACAACTCTCACTTCCAGGCACATCTCCAGCCTCACATCAGGCCCACCCAGAGAGGCATGACAGCCCATGCTGTGAGGAAGAAGTGAGGAACGAGGTGTCATGTATTAAAGCTGAGGGTGGTGGGGCTGGAGGGGAGGGTCACCTAGAAGGGTCACCTACCTGCTGGACTCCGTTGTGGACCCCTTAGAGGACTTAGAACCATAGAGTCATCTGGATTCAGCAGGTATTTGTTTTTTTTTTTTTTTTTTTTGACAGGCAGAGTGGACAGTGAGAGAGAGAGACAGAGAGAGAAAGGTCTTCCTTTTGCCGCTGGTTCACCCTCCAATGGCCGCCGCTGCAGCCGGCGCACCGCGCTGATCCTGGCAGGAGCCAGGAGCCAGGTGCTTTTCCTGGTCTCCCATGGGGTGCAGGGCCCAAGCACCTGGGCCATCCTCCACTGCACTCCCTGGCCATAGCAGAGAGCTGGCCTGGAAGAGGGGCAACCGGGACAGAATCCGGCGCCCCAACCGGGACTAGAACCCGGTGTGCCGGCGCCGCAAGGTGGAGGATTAGCCTATTGAGCCACGGCGCCGGCTTCAGCAGGTATTTGTATCCCCTGCCTGCTTCATGGGTGAGGAAACTGAGACCCAGAGAAGTGAAATGTCTTACTGAGGGCAGAGCCTTGTCTTCAGCCTGGTTGCAGGCCTCTTCCCAGGGCCCAGAAGTGACCTCACTGTCAGTCTCTGTAAGTGGGGGTGCAATGCTAGGCAGAGCTGTTTTTCTTAAAATAATAATGGTAACAAGACTCCCAGTCAGGCACAGAGTCGCCCACTAGCACGATGTCATGACGTGGGCTGACCCGTTGACAGCCTTGTACACCAGGCTTCCTGCAGCTCCTGACCACATTTCCCCTTTCAGTAAACATTTCCCCAGCACATGCCAGCCACACGTTACGCAAGGAGGACACAAAGATGCTTAATGTCATCCCTTTAGTCAGAGCACTTTGCTTCAAGGGAGAGAAACCTACCCCTATCTAGCTTGGACCTTAACAGCAAGCGACAGAGGTGTGAGGTGCCAGGTCTTAGGGAACCTTATTGCTGCCTAGGCCTCTCTCTCCCTCTCCCTCCCTCCCTCCCTCGCTCTCTCTCTCTCTCTCTCTGCCTCTCTCACCTTTTGTCTCTCTCTCTCTTTAAAGATTTATATACTTATTTATTTGAAAGGCAGAGTTACAGAGAGGCAGAGGTAGAGAGAGAGAAAGAGGTCTTCAATCCTATAGTTCACTCCCCAAATGGCTGCAATGGCCAGAGCTGGGCTGATCTGAACCCAGGAGCCAGGAGCTTCTTCTGGGTCTCCCATGTGGGTTCAGGGGCCCAAGAACTTGGGCCATCTTACTACTTTCCCAGGCCATAGCAGAGAGCTGGTTTGGAAGTAGAGCAGTTGGGACTCGAACCGGTGCCCATATGGGATACCGGCACTGCAGAAGGTGGCTTTACCCGCTACACCACAGCACTGGCCCCATGCCTCTTCATTTTATAGAGAAGGGAACCAGGATCTGTGGAGGTGAGTGACTACCTAGGACCTACCATGTGGGAAGAGGGACAATGCTGTGACTAGTCTGCGGAGGCCCTTAGTCATACTGGCTAAGCTGGCACTCATGGCTTCAGATTATCTCCTCTCTTTAAAAACAAACAAACAAACAAACAAAAACAAACAAACAAAAAACACGAAAGTGTCTTTATTTGTTTGAAAGGCAGAGAGAGAGAGAGATTTTCCATCCATTGATTGATTCCTCAAATGCCTGCAACAGCCAGGAGCCAAGAACTCCATCTGAATCTCCAATATGGATGGCAGAGACTCAAGTACTTAAGCTTTTCACCTTATGCCTCTCAGGCATGTTAGCAGGAAGCTGGATCAGAAATGTGGAGCAGGGGCCAACGCTGCGGCATAGCAGGTAAAGCCCACCACCTGTTGTGCTGGCATCCCGTAAGGGCGATGGTTCAAGTCCCAGCTGCTCCACTTCTGATCCAGCTCACTGATAATGCACCTAGAAAAGCAGCTTCTAGAAGATGGTCCAAGTCCTTGGTCCCCTGCACCCATGTGGGGGACCCAGAAGAGGCTCTTGGCTCCTGGGTTTGGATCAGCCCATCTCCTGCCATTGCAGCCATTTAGGAACTGAACCAACAGTTAGGGATCTCTCTCTCTCTCTCTCTTTCTTTCTCTCTCTCTCTCTCTCTCTCTCTCTCTCTCTCTCTCTAACTCTGCCTTTCAAATATATAGATAAATCTTAAAAAAAATAAAATGTGGAGCAGCCAGGACTTTAATATGTGATGAGGGCATCTCAATCCATGACTTAACCCCTGCACTAGTGTCTACACTCCAGAGTCTCTTTAACAGAGGTCAGTCTACCAAGTGAGGACCTAGCCTGCGGCTGACAGCAGACTCAGTGCAGAATGTGGAATGATTCCTCATGAACAGCAGCTGCAGTACCAGTTTGCCTCTTGTAGAGCTGGCTGTTCAGGGCCCAGGAGAAGGTTCACTGGGGGCAGGATGACTGGATCCATTTAGGCACCTTGCACCCTTTGACATTGCCTCAGCCATTTGGAGCTTCTAGTGTGCATTTGTTCTAGCCTGACTTCTCCCAAAGGAACAACAGAAAGAATTGTATCAGGACAGCACAGTAGGAAGATCCTCCGGTGATCTGTTTTTGTCCACACCAGTATTTTCCAGAGAGTCTCCCATCTGGGATAGAGTCACAAAGTCCCTGGACCTGCCATCCTCTCACCTGCCCTGTACAGTCTTCAGCCACTTGGATGTCTGTGAAGACAACTCAAACTTAGTGTTTCTGAAAAACCTGCTTCTGCTGCCATCTTCCCTTTTTTTTAAGATTTTGTTTATTTATTTGAGAGACAGGGTTACAAACAGAGGAAGAGACAGAGGGAAATGCCCTCCATCCTCTGGTTCACTCCCTAAATGGCCGCAATGACCAGAACTAGGCAAACCTGAAGCCAGGAGCCAGAAGCTTCTTCTTTTTTTTTTTTTTTTTTTTTTTTTTTTTTGACAGAGTGGACAGTGAGAGAGACAGAGAGAAAGGTCTTCCTTTGCCGTTGGTTCACCCTCCAATCAATGGCCGCTGCGGCCTGGCGCCCCAACTGGGACTAGAACCCGGTGTGCCGGCGCCGCAAGGCAGAGGATTAGCCTAGTGAGCCATGGCGCCGGCCCAGGAGCCAGAAGCTTTTTCCGGGTCACCCATGCGGATGCAGGGACCCAAGCACTTGGGCCATCTTCCATTGCTCTCCCAGGCCGTAAGCAGAGAGCTAGATTGGAAGAGGAGCAGCTGGCACACAAACTGACACCCTTACGGGATGCTGGCACTGCAGGCAGAGGCTTAACCCACTATGTCACAGCGTGGCCCTTCCCTTTCTCTTAAAACAGCTCCACCATCTGCCTGTTGGTTCAGGACAAGAACCTGGGCACTGCCTTATTTCTTTTCACCCTTCAGCACCTACTCCCTTCGTGGCCTGCCTGCTCTGCGGAGGCTTTCCTGAGTCTCACTCAGCCCCAGCCCTGCTGGCCACTCTTCAAATATGGGCTGAGCTCATTCCCTTTACCCTAAAGCTTGTTCCTTCTGATCCTCTTATCAAGTAGACCTCTGCTCACGGTCACCCCCTCAGCAAGGATTCACTTGGCAGCCCCATCCTGAGCAGTCCTATCCCCATCCTGTTTTTTTCAGAACAGATCTGAGCTACCACATGTTTCGTGTTTGCCTGTTTACTTGCATGTACTCTGACTTCCTGATGGCCAGCCACTTTGCAGATACCATGGTGTAGGCCTTGGTCAATGACCTGGTGCTGAGTGGCCAGTATTTGTCCTTTCTAGAGAAAGGAAAGGCAACTCAGTGGCTGTAAATCATGCCACAATCACTGTTACCAAAGCAGGTGTGTGATACTGTTTCTAACCCCAAAATGCCATTTCCACATGTAATCATCTACGTGCATATACAGACTTGTTAGGTACACACATGTATACATCACAGGCTCTTTTTTTGTTTTGTTTTATTTAATAAATATAAACTTTGAACGTACAACTTTTGGATTATAGCAGTTTCCCCCCCATAACTCCCTCCCACCTACAAACCATCCCATTTCCTACTCCCTCTCCCATCCCATTCTTCATTAAGATTCATTTTTAATTATCTTTATATACAAAATATCAACTTAGTATATATTAAGCACCCACACAGACACACAAAGTACTGTTTGAAGACTAGTTTTACCATTAGTTCGCATAGTATAACACATTAAGGACAGAGATCCTACATGGGGAGTAAGTGCACAGTGACTCCCCTTGTTGATTTAACAATTGACACTCTTAATCACCATTACAGGCTCTTAATTTTGCCTGGGAAAAATATTGACCATAAGGTGAGAGCTTCCACTGAAGACAAATTAGAATGCTGTGATTTTCTTGGAAAAGCTTATGACATCACAACACTTGGAGGAGCAGGAAGCAGGAAGCTGAGGTATTGCTTCACAGCACTGATACTTCTAGATGCTCCATAGCTTTAGCCACAGAGTACAATGCTAGTTTCAGTAGTGCTTGAAGCAATAATGACGGATCTGGAGAGCAGAAGTTCTAATGTCAAAGTGTCAGCAGCACTGAATTCTGTCTGGAGGCTCTTGGGGACGGTCCGTTTCCTTGTGTTTTCCAGCTTGACTTACGCCCTTTCCTCCATCTTCAGCCAGCAGTATTAGAGCTTCTGTTTTAAGATGGCCTTTGTGATTGCATTGGGCCCATCTGGCAGATAATCCAGGATAATCTCCTGGATAATTTTGAGAGTTTTAATTTATTCACTTCAAAATCCTATTTATTGTGGAAAGCAACATTTTCCAAGGTTCTGGGGATTAGGTCGTGGACATTGTTGTCAGGGCTTATTCAAGCCTACCACATGTTCTGTGCATTTTCTTCCTTTGTTCAAATCTATGTAGATTGATAAGTCATTTGGGAATTAGAAAAGCAGGAAAACTTAGCTCTTTTGCAGCCAACCTGAGGTGATGATAAATCTTGAATTGACAAATATTGTTTTTTATTTTATTTTCAATTTGTTAGAAAGAGAGGGGCCGGCGCTGTGGCTTAGCTGGTTAAAACCCTGGCCTGAAGCACCGGCATCCCATATGGACAGCGGTTCTAGTCCTGGCTGCTCCTCTTCTGATGCAGCTCTCTGCTATGGCCTAAAAAGCAGAAAATGGCCCAAGTCCTTGGGCCCCTGCACCCATGTGGGAGACCCGGAAGAAGCTCCTGGCTTCGGATCAGTGCAGCTCCGGCCGTTGCAGCCATCTGGGGAGTGAACCAGAGGATGGAAGACCTCTCTGTCTGGCTCTATCTCTCTCTGTAACTCTTTAAAATAAATAAAAATTAATCTTAAAAAAAAAAGAAAGAAAGAGGCTGGCGCTGTGCGTGGCTCACTTGGCTAATCCTCTGCCTGCAGTGCCAGCACCCTGGGTTCTAGTCCTGGCTGAGGCACCAGGTACTAGTCCTGGTTGCTCCTCTTCCAGTCCAGCTCTCTGCTGTGGCCTGGGAGGGTAGCGGAGGATGGCCCGAGTGCTTGGGTCCCTGCACCCGCATGGGAGACTGAGAGGAAGTACCTGGCTCCTGGCTTCGGATTGGTGCAGTGCCGGCTGTAGCGGCCATTAGGGGAGTGAACCATCAGAAGGAAGACCTTTCTCTCTGTCTCTCTCACTGTCTATAACTCTCTCTGTCTCTCTCTCTCTCTCTCACTGTCTAACTCTGCCTGGCAAAAAAAAAAAAAAAAAAAAAAAAAAAAAAAAAAGATTGATTTTCCATCCACTGGTCACTCCCCAAATGCCCGCAATAGCCAAGACTCAGCCAATCTAAGAAGCACAGAGCCCACGACTTAATCTGGGTCTCCCACGTGGGTGGCAGGGATCCCAAGTACTTGAGTCATCATCTGCTGCCTCCCAGGATGCACATTAATAGAAAAGTTAGAATCAGAAGCAGAGCGAGGACTTGAACCCAGGTGGGTGTCTCAAGTAGCACCTTTTACTGCTGTGTGAAAGGCCCACCCTTTCATGTTTTTTTTTTAACTTTATTTTTTAAAGATTTATTTATTATTTAAAAGTCATAGCTGCACAGAGAGAAGAGAGGCAAAGGGAGAGAGAAAGAGGTCTTCCATCCACTGGTTCACTCCCCAGATGGCTGCAACTGCCGGAGCTGTGGCAATCAGGAGCCAGGAGCTTCTTCTGGGTACCCCACATGGGTGCAGGGACCCTCAAGGTGTTGGGCTATGTTCTACTGCTTTCCCAGGCCATAGCAGAGAGCTGAATCGCAAGTGGAATAGCTGGGACTTGAACTGGTGCCCATAGGGGATGTCAGCACTGCAGGAGGTGGCTCTACCTGCTATGCCACAGCGCCGGTGCCTTTTAACTTTTAAAATCCAGGGCCAAGGGAAGGCAGTGGAGGATGGCCCAAGTGCTTGGGCCCTGCACCCCCATGGGAGACCGGGAGGAAGTACCCGGCTCCTGGCTTCGGATTGGCGCAGCGTGCCCACTGTAGCGGCCATTTGGGGGGGTAAACCAACAGAAGGAAGACCTTTCTGTCTCTCTCTCTCTCTCACTGTCTAACTCTGCCTGTCAAAAAAAAAAAAAAAAAAAAAAAAATCCAGGGCCAGTGCT